TACTAAGTAAGATAGACATGCAAAAACTATGCTTAAAACACACATTTTGATTGAAAACCATGCATATGCCAATTTTGAGAAAATATCATGAACATAAGTATAAGAGGCATAAGATACAACATAGTCAACATACAAGTTATTTCATCACATTAGAACATTCACCTCAAGTAACTCTCAAGATATACTTTGTGCAATGTATGAATAGCGTCCCATACCACCATCCACACTAAGTACCACTTTAAGGCCACTAAAAGTGAACTTACCATTCTTCCTTTTCATCTTTAGACAATACTTATACATAAGGAACATAAACATTTCATAAATCACGACAAGGAAAGTAACTCATAATACCATCCAAGTAAAGCATGCATCATTACATTAAACATTTAAGTCAACATTCTTTAATAGCTTCATTAAGAGCACATTCATTCATTAGTCATTAAGACATTGGAGAACTCGCTATAGCCCCCTCAAAGCCTACTCGTGCAATGCATGAATGACATCACATACTACCACCCACACTTCATAGAACATCTTGAGTAACCATAGTGCACATCTCACATGATGAGATAAGCATTAACCGACAGACCATGAGAGCAAACCATGGAATCCGGTGTCATATAACCCCACACCGAAAGAAGGTGTCCTACTTGCCTAAGGTAGAACTAGGTACATTTTAGCTTAGGTGGATCCACTAGCTAATATCCTATGTGGGCACTGTTGACACCCAATTTTGGACCTCCACAATATATATTAATCATCGAGTTTCTTAAATTCTAAACGATTTGAAATAATTGACTTTATAAAATTCAAACTATTTTTCAAGTTATTTTAAATAGTTTTGTCACTTTTTTAAAAATAATTTTTGGATAATATATATGATTTACATAATTACGTATATAATTAGTATATTTTATAAATATTCAAAAATCGTCTAAAGTTTTTTTTTTGTTTAAATTAAATATTTATTTAATTAGTTTAATTATTCGATAAGTCTATATTTTTGAGTTAATAGTTTATAATTGAGTTAATTATTTTATTTCATTAAGATGGAGAAGCTCGTTGGTTAATTATATTAATTTGTCTTATTTAATTACTAGCCGAATTTAATAAGTGAATTCAATTTGGCTACGTTCTTAATTTCGATTGGTTATAGTTGAAATCCATGTAGCCATTTCTAATTGCAATTTTAGCCTCTTCATTACCTTATCTTCAATTCCTTGCAAGACCCATTTTGAGCCTTTGTTATTCCTTTTCAGCAGCCCATTGAAACCCATCCAATGCCCAACCCATCAGTCCAAAACTCCAACAATTTTGACCCATTCCCAGTCCACTCATAACGCTCCTGACCCGGCCCACTTTTCTATTCACTAAAGAAACCCAACAGCTTCTTTCTCCTCTTTCACGTGAACAACACAGTAACGACAATAACAATCCAAGCGTCGTGAACAATTCCCAAACAACATCAACGTTCACAAAGGAGACAAAAACCACACGGAAAGTTCATGACGTGAGAGAATGCGTTCCTGGTATAGCAGTACGCTACTTTTCATCGTCTTCCTCGCTTCAACAGTACAATCGCAGCAGCAAAAAGCATCCACCAGCAGCTGTGAATCCGTCCTTGTGGCCTTGAGATAGAGCCACGTTGCTCGCCAAGGACATGAGAGTCGATCCCAACCGTCAATCTCCCTTTCCTCTTCCGGAATGGGTTGAAATTTCAGGAAAAATGGTGTTTTCCTTTAATGGTGAAAGATTTTTGGAGTTTTGAAATTCGAAATGGGCCCTTGAATCCTAATTTTCATCTGTTTCCCCCCAAACTTGAAACCCTAAAATTCCCTTTTATAAATACCCCTTCTTATTCATTGTGTGGGGTTGGAGATTTTGAGTTGGATTTTTTATTTGAGCGAAAACACAAAGGAGAGCTTAAGCAAAATACTTTAAAACACACACTAAATACACTTCGTAAGCAGAGAAGATAATAGTTTCCATGTTTAGGTTTAAGTTTCTTCCCAGATTTCTGGTTGGTCGTTCGTGTTCGAGTTTTGCGTGGTAAAGGTCATAATTCCAGCTCGTCCCATCCCTGTTCGCTACCCGGAAAAGGTAGCATTTCCTCCAATGGCTTTTCTCTTTATCTCTTTCTCTATTTTGTTTTGTTAACATTGGGAAATCATTGTTCTGTTGGTTGTTGGATGTTAGCTTTTGTTATATATGCTTTTCACCTCACCCCACACTTATACAATAGCATTGTCCCCAATGCATTTTAAAATGTCAACCAAGTTTGAAAGGTAAGGTGAAAACACTCTCTGATCAATCCTTTATGGAATCATCGTCATCTGCCTCATCACCCGCATGTGTTGGGTCCATCTCTTCCTCAAAATCTGAGTCCACATTCGATCATATGTGCAGGTTCTCTTCATCAGTCGGGATGTCTTTCTCAATAGGCTTTCGGAACTCAGGACCAATGCCAAGCAATGTTTTGGCATGGTCATTCAGCAAATAGCGCGCAATGACCTCTCCTATCTCCAGATCAGTAGATGTCTGGCCACCAGTCTTATGTCGGAGCATCTCCAGGCCATACATTCTGGCCATGATCAACTCATCTCTCCTGTGGCGCTCTGCAGTGGTGAGTGTCGGGCCGAAGTCAGTGTCAGGCCGAAGTCAGTGTCAGACCCCTTTGTCTGAGTGATATCCACCATTGTAGGGTACAATGATGCCATATAATCCAACGGCTCCTCCGAGACCCCTGCAATACGACACATTTTGGTGATAAGCCCACCAAGCGCATACATATGCCCCTTGTGGACTCGAGCCTTTCGCATCGTCGATTTAATGATGACCCCAATGTTCATCTCCATGCCCGTCATCAATGCATACACCAGACACACCTGGTCACGAGTGATGTCCGTGTAATGTAAACCCGAGATCAAGCAATTCATCACCACTTTTAGCCAAACCCTTGTCTCCCGCAACATGTGAGCGTAGGGAAGAGATTTATGATATCTCTTCCCACTGTGTTTAGTCCATTGAGCCATGGACTGCGACCCGCATAGTAAGTGGCAGATGGCCCGGTATGAAGGGGATATATTCAGCCCAGTCAGCACAAGTGGATCAACGTCCTCTGAAATACCCAATATATTATTGATGCTTGTGGTAGTGATGGGTACAGTCCTTCCTCGCACAGTCATATAGTGAGATCGAGCTTTGGGCATCCAGTTGGCGTAAAACTCTAGACCATGTGTAGATTGCACTCCCCTGGATCAGCAAATGCGAAATCCATCCTTAGTTCCCTAATTCACCTCAGAATTTGTGGGAACTCACGTGCTAGACTCTCCATATCGATACCGACATCCGAGAAGTAAGAGGCCTCGATATGCTTCTTGTACCATGTTTTTCCTTCTTTAGTGACTGCTTTCACTCCATATCACCTAGTTTGGCCTTTGGGGTCCGCATGCTTTCACTTCATTCCCGCTTCTTGGATGCTTCTTCAGGGTCGGCTGGGCCACTGCTTTGTCGGGACGTTGTGAACTTGACATGATTACTTACAAGATGTAACAACATTCAGCCCAAACAACTACACAACGATGAGAAAGATATGGGTGGTGTGCGCACACCACCCCACACTTATTTAGATGTAGCCCCAATCTAGGTACTCTGACTTCCCAAGAAATGATCAACACATACTCACGGCAGTTCCAAATTCACCGACCCGGACAGACATGACAAGATCAATTATACCCACACAACTATTAGATAGTGTTACTCAAGACTTCACACAATTAATATAAACCCATGAACCTTCACATATCCAGTACAACTAGTATGTCTACTCAAGAATTCGAACACACAATAACACGTGACAAACATTCTTACCCATGCACAAGCCAAACCCAACATGTGTACCAGCTACATACTATCATGACCAGACCACAACACCAAGCACCAATGTATTTCTACTCAGACTTCGAAACACACAGAGACCAACAAGAAACACCCGATATAGAGAACATCAACTCAACCCCCAACTCCCTAAAAATCAAGCAACAAAATAATTTACCACTTAAACCTAACCCCAAAATAGATGTTTTCTACTCAAGAATTCGAAACACCTATCTAAACATGTTTTCTACCTTCGCCCACAACCCATTCGCTACAACCTACTATACTACAACTAACCCACCCAATACATTCGAAATAACAAGCATTCCAAGCAGAAAGGGAAAATTCGAGCAACAAAATCAAGAACTCATAACTGAGATGAAAAAAATTAGGGAAAATCAGCAAGACCCAAAGATAGAATGACTCTGCGTTTACAGGTTGTTGCTTGAAAAATCGAACGAGGGGGAGAACGGGGGGGAAAATCGTGAAAAGGAGTTTGGGAGTGATGGGGTTTATCGGGGAAATTTCGGGTTAAAAAGGGGGGTGGGTCGGTTTATTTCTCATTTCAAAATAAGTCGAACCCGTTTATTTAATGAGAAAAAGAAAAACTTACCTGTGAGGCGCGACGCGGGGCAAACACGAGGTCTTCTGGAATTATAATTTCAGACGAGGCCATTTTTTTTTACCTTTGAGATGCGACACGGGGCTGGCACCTGGTGATTCTTTTTTCGTGACGTAGATTTTTGTGTTGGTCCCATCTAAGTTAAATTTCGGGACCCTATGCGCGACGCGGAGCCTCCACGCAGGGCTCTACCTCAAATTTCCCCAGGTGAGGCAAAATTTAACATCACCTACGGGACGCGAGACTGGCACTTAACATCCTTGGGCACAAATTCCTACCATCTGCATATGTTCAGCACACACCCTATTAGTGAAAACACGATGGGCTGCCTCCCATCTAGCGCCTTAGTTTTGGTCGTGGCACGACTCATATATTTTTTATTCTATTTTTTAGAACTCAAATAAACAAATAAAAACAAATAAATCCTAACTATTACAGCAGTTCACGGGTTGCCTCCCATGTAGCGCCTGATTTAACGTCGCGACACGACCCATCTCATGATTCATTCTTCATTCAATGTGAACTCTTCGAGCTTCCAATCCAGATCTTTCCTAAAAGAATGCTTGACCCGTTGACCATTTACAAGGAATGTAGAGCTTTTATCCTTGTTTCTCAATTCCACAACACCATGTTGGGTCATTCTTACAACTTCAAAAGGGCCACTCCACTTAGATCGAAGCTTTCTGGGAAACAACTTCAACCGTGAATTAAACAACAACACTAGTTGACCAGGCAAAGGTGCGGGACACAATATGCCTGTCATGCCACCTCTTGGTCTTCTCTTTGTACAACTTGTCATTTTCGTAGGCATGAAGACTAAATTTTTCTAACTCGTGCAGCTGTGTGATTCTCTTCCTACCTGCAAACTTAACATCCAGATTCAACTTCTTAATCGCCCAATATGCCTTGTGCTCTAACTCAGCTGGTAAGTGACGCGCTTTTCCAAACACCATTCGATAAGGAAAAGTCTCTATCGATGTCTTATAAATAGTCTGATATGCCCATAAGACATCATCTAGCTTGTCAACCCAATATTTTCTTTGGGCATTCACAATCTTTTGGAGGATCTACTTGACCTCCCTGTTTGATACCTCTACTTGCCCACTAGTTTGGGGATGATATGTTGTAGCCACTTTGTGCCTCACCCCATACTTCGCTAATAGACTATGAACTGAGTTATTGATAAAGTGGTTACCTCCATCACTGATTATTGCCCTTGGCGTTCCAAACCTGGTGAAGATATGCTTTCGAATGAACTTGACAACCACTTTGGCATCATTTGTTGGCAATGAAACAGCCTCCACCCGCTTAGACATGTAGTCCACAACGACTAGAATGTATTGATTACCCCAGGACGATGTGAATGGTCCCATGAAGTCTATTCCCCACATATCAAAGATCTCATAGTATGTTGTTCAATGGCATCTCATGCCTCTTTGAAATGGTGCCCATCCTATGACACTGATCACTACCTTTCACAAATAAAGCAGCATCTTTAAATAAGGTAAACCAAAAGAAATCAGATTGCAATACTTTATGTGCAGTACTTTCGCCTCCATGATGTCCACCATATGGCGACGCGTGGCAACTCTCCAACACTTGCGTCGCCTTCTACTCGGCTATACACTTTCTCATCATCTGATCCGGACCCTGCTTGAACAAATATGACTCATCTCATATATAGAAACGTGCATCATACCTTAACCTCTGCTTCTGATGTGTTGATGCCCTAGGTGTAAATAAACCACTCACCAGAAAATTCACAATGTCTGCATACTAAGGCACCTGAGCAATGTCCAAAGCAAGCAACTGCTTATCAGAAAACTCTTCACGAATCTGCCCTTCATTTTTCACATGAGATGAATCCTCTAGTCGGGACAGATGATCAACAATTTGGTTCTCAGTTCCCTTCCTATCTCTTATTTCGAGGTCAAACTCTTGCAGTAGCAGGATCCACCTAATCAACCTAAGTTCGATATCTTTCTTGTTGAACAAGTACCGAATGGCCGCATGATCAGTGTAGACTATCACTTTGGCTCCCACTAAGTATGACCTGAACTTGTCAAATGCGAACACCAATGTCAACATCTCCCTCTCAGTAACTGTGTAGTTCGATTGAGCTGTGTCAAGTGTTTTGCTCGCATAGTATATGGAGTGAAACACCTTGTCCTTTCTCTGCCCAAGCACTTCCCCAACTGCCCCAACTGCTATATCACTAGCATCACACATCACCTCAAATGGAAGCTCCCAATTTGGAGCAATAAGAATAAAAGCCTCAATCAACTTCTGTTTCAGCATCTCAAAAGCCTACAAACAGTTTTCATCAAACACAAATTTCATCTCTTTCTCTAATAAGCTGCACATAGGTCTTGCAGTTTTAGAGAAGTCCTTGATGAACCTCCTATAAAAACCAGCATGTCCAAGGTAGTTTCGCACTCCCTTTACTGATATTGGTGGCGGCAACTTCTCAATCACTTCCACCTTTTCTTTGTCTACCTCTAGCCCACTCTTGGAGATCTTATGCCCCAACACAATTCCTTCTCTGACCATAAAGTGACACTTCTCCCAGTTCAGCACCAGATTGGTCTCATCACATCTAGTAAGAACTCTGTCAAGATTAGATAAACAAAGTTCGAAAGACTCATCAAACACCGAGAAATCATCCATGAATACTTCAACAAAATCTTCCACCATATCATGGAAGTTTGCCATCATACATTTCTGAAATGTGGCTGAGGCATTGCACAAGTCGAATGGCATGCGTTTGAACGCATATGTGCCATATAGGCAAGTGAATGTCGTCTTCTCTTGATCCTCAGGTGCAACGGCGATCTGATTATACCCTGAATAACCAACAAGGAAACAATAATACTCTTGGCTAGCCAACATATCTAACATTTGATCAATGAACGGTACCGGATAGTGGTCTTTCCTGGTGGCTTCATTGAGTTTTCTGTAGTTCATGCATATCCTTCACCTAGTCAGTATTCTTGTGGGGATCAACTCATTTTTCTCACTGGTCACAACTGTCATTCCACCCTTCTTGGGCACACACTGTACTGGACCTACCCATTTACTGTCAGATATTGGGTACACAATCCCTGCATTTAGCCACTTGATAACTTCTTTTATGACAATATCCTTCATCAATAGATTTAGTCTCCGCTAATGCTATGCACTTGCCTTGTACCCTTCTTCCATGTATATTTTTTGCATACACAGTGCGGGTCTAATACCATGGATGTCAGACATTTTCCACCCCAGAGCTGATTTTCTCTTCTTCAGAATGAGTAGTGCGGCTTCCACCTGTTCGTCAGATAATGCTGCAGAAAAAAATAACTGGTAAAGTCTTATCTTCACCCAAAATTGCATACCTGAGGTGGGCTGGCAGTGTTTTCAACTCCAGCCTGGGTGCTTCTTCAATGGAGGGTTTAGGTGGAGGACCCAACACCCTATTTAGAGGCTCACATCGCTCTCCAAAGGTAACTATAAGTGACACATCAAGGAATTGCGCCATTTAATTTGCCTCAGCATCCCCATATATGTCATCCCCCACCAATACTCGCTCCAGAGGATCCTTAGCTGTAATATATTTAGCTTCTGCCTCAAGATCTATCACAGTTATGACAGACAACTCCTCATACACAGCTGACATTTTTAAGGCTTTGTATACATCAAACACCTTCACTTTATCATAAGCTCTCATAGTAAGTTGCCCAGCTACTACATCTATCATTGCCCTACCAGCTTCTAAGAAAGGTCGTCCTAAGATGAAAGGGACTTCATAATCAGGCTCGAAATTCAATACTACAAAGTCTACTGGGAAAATCAGAGATCCCACTTGTACTAACATATCTTTAACAACACCCTCAGGTCTAGCTACAGATCTATCCGCCAATTGCAAAATTATGGTAATTGGTTTAGCACCCAACCCCAGCTTTTTGTACAAAGAAGTTGGCATCAAGTTTATACTCGCTCCTAGATCACACAACCCTCGAGCATGAATGCTTTGCCCTATAGTAATCTGCACAGTAAAACTACACGTATCTTTTAGTTTAATGGGTAGCTTGTTCTGAATTCTGGAGCTGCACTCTTCAGTAAGTGCCACAGTCTCATACTTTTTCATCCTCCTTTTGTTTGTTACGATCTCCTTCACATACTTCGCATACCTGGGTATCCCCTACAAAACATCTACCAATGATAAGTTAATGTGAACTTGTTTCAAGAGAGAGAGAAACTTACCAAAACATTTGTCCTCCTTTTTTTTCTTTAACTTCTGAGGAAATGGAGGAGGTGGTTTCACTATTGGTTGCACTCTTTCTTACGGTGCAACTACTTCATTATCCTTAAGCTCACCTTTTTTAGGTTCACTCTCTTTGTTTACAACTTCAGTGTTTCTTTTCTTAGGAGCTAACTCCTCCAATTGCAAACCACTACGCGTACTTACTGCATTCACCTGTTTAGGATTTGGGTCAGTGTTTCTAGGCAAACCTCCTTGCGGTCGTGAATTTTGGACACTAGCAAACTGCCCAAATTGCTTCTCCAAATTCTGTGTAGCTAACTGATTATCTCTCACATCAGTAGCTAAGTGGGCTTGATCAGCCATAATTTTTTCCAGCATCTCCTCCACACTCATGTTACCGGATTGCTACTTGGGTTGCTCCCTTTATGCCTGCGGTTGATACCCATTGGCATTGCCTTGTGGACTATAATGGTTTTGCCCTTGGCCCTAGTTCTGATTTCCTCCCCAAGAAAATTTGGGTGGTTACGCCAACTTGGGTTATATGAGTTTTCATAGTTTTGTTGGCATCCTTTTCTCTGGGCATTTCCAACAAAATTAACAGAATCTGGGTTTACACCACATACCTCTACACCATGATCGCTACCTCCGCAGATCTCACACCAAGACGATGGTTGTTGAACTGCATTTAACTGTGCAGGCTGTTGTCTCAATGCTATGTTGCTAACATGTGTACTCATCATATTCTGCATAGCAGAAATATGTGCAGTTAAAGCAGTCATCGCATCTACTTCCAGCATACCTACAGTTTTCTATACTACCGATTTCATTCCCCCTCCGTTCTACTCTTGATTACCTTGAGAGATGCGGTTCAGCAAAGTGAACAGTTCATCATAAGTCTTCTTTAAGGCTTGTCCACCTGCAGCTGAATCAAGCAAAATCTTGGTGTTAGGCTCCAACCCTTCAATGAAGGTATGGACTAACACCTCATTAGATTGATGATGATAAGGGCAGCTCATCAACATCGATTTGAACCTGTCCCAAGCTTGGTACAAGTTCTCACCACCCTTTTGCCTAAAACTCAAAATATCACTCCTCAACTTAGCAGTTTTCCTAAATGGAAAAAATTTGATGAGGAATTTATGTGCCAAATCGTTCCAGGTGGTAATTGAATTCGCAGGCTCTGAGTTCAGCCATCTTTTTTCTTCCCCAAGCAAAGAGAAAATGAATAAGGTGAGCCTCACATAATCTTTATTCACCCCAGTTGGAGTGTAAGTATCACTGATCTCAAGGAAGTTCTGAATATGAATTGTGGATCCTCATGTGAAAGACCAGTAAACAGCCCATTTGTGTGCAAAATTTGCACCATACTCTGCTTCAGTTCAAATCTCCCACCAGGTTCACGTTTCTGTATGCACGAAGTCACATTGGTGGGGCATGGGATTGTCACGTCTCGTACTTTCAACTTAGCAGCCATTGTCTCAGGTTCTTCTTCCTCTGTTTTTTGTACAGGTGATTCTAGCTCACCTATAACTAGGGGAACCAGATATGCTAATCGTCTCTGCCTTCTATGTAAATGTATGAATCTTTTAGGTTTTGAGAGAGGTGATAACAATCCTTGATCGTTGTCCAGTTTGGAGTATCAAAATAACCTGCAACAATGGAATGTTACGATCAAGTTGTCAACACTTGCGTTTCAACTTTAGAAATAAAAAAATATTAAATACTTTCTAATTCTAAAGTCCCCGGCAGCGGCGCCAAAAACTTGTTGCGGTCTAATCGCACATGCAAGTGCACGTGATCGTACAAGTAATAAAGTGGCTCTTTTTTAGAGCCGGGTATCGTACCCACAGGGACTCACACTTAGAAACTATCAATTTCTCTAGTGCTCAATTAACCACAAATGTATTTCCAGATTTAAAGAGTTGTTTATTTCTATTTCTAATTTTTTTAAAAAAATATAACTAACAAGATTCAGTTTCACGGGTTTCAAACAATGATTTGGGAAAGGTCCAGGGATGTAGGTTCTATCAGGATTCGTGCAATCAATATAATTTATATGGGTAATTATTAACTATCGAATTAATAAGTCACATATTAGATGTATGATCATGGTCTCTCGACCTCTAATCGCCTACGATAGATAACACCCTAACTACATCATTGAGCGGGGATAAAATGATTAACTACCGAGCATTAAGTTATCTTTCTGTATGGTGACCCAAGTGAGGTCTCTAGGTATATCCCTATCCAAGAAACGAATCAACCCTAGCTATTTAGAGTTCAACAAGCTCCTTATGCTCCATGTTCTATCCTCTTATTCCTCTTCCGAGTTCAATTCGGACAATGAATTTATTTCTATGGTGATCAATCAAGAAATACGGAATATAAGAACATAAGAAATATTTATGTGATAGTCTCTAATAAACCCAAAAAACCAAACTCAATCAATTACAATCATCATGTAACTACAGCCCTATAACTAGGGTATTTAGCTACTCATAGTCCAATAATCAATCATACAATGGTTATGAATCATCAAACGATTGAAAGGAAAAGAGTTTGAGAAATAACCCTAAAATTGTTGAAAAAGTACTCCAAAGTCGTCGTTCTTCAAAACCCAGAAAAAGAATAATTAATAAAATAAAATAATGACCTATTTATACTAAAATTCGAAACGGCCAAATATGGGACTCAAGCGCATGACGCGCGGTGCCTTCCAAATTCCGAGTCCAAGAAATTTTTGCCTTCTGCGCGACGCGCGAGCATCACGAGGTGTTCTGCCTAGAAGTCAATTTTGCAACCCACTTCTTGCATTCCTTTGCGCGACGCAGAGAGAACACGTAAATGCCTTGATGCATTTTTCTCAGCTTCTTCCTTGTTCTCTTTTGACTCGAATCTTCAGATTTCTTCCTTTGTCCCTTTTTGTGCTCGTTTCTCCCATTAAGCTTACCTACACAACTAATCATGTTGGTTAGCTCAATAAATAAGCAAACGACTCGATGAGACTCTAAATACATATATATTGACTTCAAACTAGGCTTAAATGCGGTCATAATTAGCATTCTAGGCATATAAATATGCCTAAGATCAGAAAGCATCGTAAGAGATGCTACCAATTTTTCCAATTACAGTTTCTACTAACAAGTTTATTTCAGTCTTTGTCGAGAGAATCCAAGAGGATGAATTCTCAACCACAGGTGCGGACGACATCAACAAGGATGCATCACAACGTGGTACTTTTTCTTAGCATCAAACTGGGACATAGTCTAAAGAGGAGTATCAAACTCTTAGGACGCGAGCTGAGGAGCGACTTTCACCACAATCAAACCACACCCCTATTAGAAGGCATGTGGGTTTTTCTGGGAGTTTTTCAGTTTCAGTTTCGCATCCGGAAAGTTTTTGGTGTTCATCGGAAGTAGCTTTCCAATCCGAGCGACAATGCACCAAGAGCTTTAGAAATTATGTCCGTGTAAGTTCTTACTTATGGATATGAAGAGCTCCACCTTCATGGTTAAGAGGTTGCAAACCTTTTTTTTTATGCTCGACTTATTTGTCACTCCTCCAGAACCAAAGATTATCTAGCATAATAGATATCCTTTCAATTGATCGAGTCGAACTACAAACGGCCTGATTCCTTGAGTTCAAGGATATGTAGGCGGGCTCAATGTTGAAAACTCAACTATTCTCCAACATTCTCTCTCAACTCTGACTCCCGAGCAATCCGGTCTCTTCATAATTCGATATCTTTCAAATTTTTTCAAAGTCGTGCGTAAATTCAAGCGTATCGAACTACAATTGGCCTGAATTCTCATATAGCCTAAGATATGGAGGAAACCCATCTTTGGGGTTCAGCCATAATTCCTAAAGTCCGTACCAAAATCCTTTTTCTAAAAGATGGAGATGTGGTCGGCCAAAATTAGATTCATCAATTTCATTTGCCTCGAATTTATTTCATCAATCCAGGTCAAACGACAGACAGTTGTTGACATCTAATTTTGGACCTCAACAATATATATTAATCATCGAGTTTCTTAAATTCTAAACGATTTGAAATAATTGACTTTATAAAGTTCAAAATATTTTTCAAGTTATTTTAAATAGTTTTGTCACTTTTGTTTTTATAATTTTTGGATAATATTTATGCTTTACATAATTACGTATATAATTTGTATATTTTATAAATATTCAAAAATCGTCTAAAAAAGATTTTGTTTAAATTAAATATTTATTTAATTAGTTTAATTATTCGATAGTCTATATTTTTGAATTAATAGTTTATAATTGAGTTAATTATTTTATTTCATTAAGATGGAGAAGCTCGTTGGTTAATTATATTAATTTGTCTTATTTAATTACTAGCCGAATTTAATAATTGAATTCAATTTGGCTACGTTCTTAATTTTGATTGGTTATAGTTGAAATCCATGTAGCCATTTCTAATTGCAATTTTAGCCTCTTCATTACCTTATCTTCAATTCCTTGCAAGACCCATTTTGAGCCTTTGTTATTCCTTTTCAGCAGCCCATTGAAACCCATCCAATGCCCAACCCATCAGTCCAAAACTCCAACAATTTTGACCCATTCCCAGTCCACTCATAACGCTCCTGACCCGGCCCACTTTTCTATTCACTAAAGAAACCCAACAGTTACTTTATCCTCTTTCAGGTGAACATCACAATAACGACAACAACCATCCAAGTGGCGTGTACAACTCCTAAGCAATAGCAACGTTCACAAAAAAAGACGAAAACCACACGAAAAGTTCACAGCGCGAGAGAACGCGTGCGTGGTATAGCAGTACGCTATTTTTTGTCGTCTTTCTTGTTGCAACAGTACAATCGCAATAACAAAAATCATCCGCCAGCAGTTTTGAATCCGTCCTTGTGGCCTTGAGATGGAGCCGCGTTGCTCGCCAAGGACACGAGAGTCGATCCCAACCGTCTGTCTCCCTTTTCTCTTCCAGAATGGGTTGAAATTTCAAGAAAAAATGTGTTTTCCTTTAATGATGAAAGATTTTTGGAGTTTTGAAATTCGAAATGGGCCCTTGAATCCAAATTTTCATCCATTTCCCCCCAACCTTGAAACCCTAAAATTCCCTTCTATAAATACCCCTTCTTATTCATTGTGTGGGGTTGGAGATTTTGAGTTGGATTTTTTTTATTAGAGCGAAAACACAAAGAAGAGCTTAAGCAAAATACTTTAAAACACACACTAAATACACTTCCTAAGTAGAGAAGATAATAGTTTCGGTGTTTGGGTTTAAGTTTCTGCCCAGATTTCTGGTTGGTCGTTCGTGTTTGAGTTTTGCGTGGTGAAAGTCGTCATTCCAGCTCGTCTCGTCCCTGTTCGCTGCCCGAAAAAGGTAGCATTTCCTCCGATGGCTTTTCTCTTTA